CCTTTCCCCTTCATTGATCATCCAGATACCCAAGGAAATCACAGTATTCCTCAATTTGCACAAACGATAACTTCTCTTTTCCTACAAACAATCTGCGTGACTTGTTTCTTCCCTCTTTGACATCGGTGATGTTCTTGACATCGCAGAATCAAGTCTCAATATTACTCCCGTTGTAGTGGCTCTGGAGAAAATACCACATGTGAAATCCAATGGGAAAAAGGTCATAGCATGGGTTCACGTCATAAAACACATCGGGCAAAGAAGAAGCAGGGGAGCTAATTCACCTGGATTAACCAAATTGGAGCCATCACAATAGAACAGGAACAGGAAGTGTTCCTTTTCTATATATAGGACTGCTACCAGATTATCAATTCTCTAATTGGCGATAACTGGTTTACTGTTCGATTGTTTGTAGGAAAACAACAGCAGGAAGTGTCTTGCACATGGTCATCGTAGTTCCCAGCAGGGTATAAAAGCAACAGAGGGGAAGAGCCATCAATACCAAGAACCTCACTCTCCTGTAAACACACCCAGAACCTCCATCCTTGGACACCATGGTCAACTCCTGTTGTGGCTCCGTCTGCTCCGACCAGGGCTGTGGTCAAGGCCTGGAGACCTGCTGCTGCCGGCCCAGCTGCTGTGTGTCCAGCTGCTGCAGGCCCAGCTGTTGTGTGTCCAGTTGTTGCCGCCCCAGCTGCTGTGTGTCCAGCTGCTGCAGGCCCCAGTGCTGCCAGTCTGTGTGCTGCCAGCCCACCTGCTGCCGCCCCTCCTGCTGCATCTCCAGCTGCTGCCGCCCCTCCTGCTGTGGCTCTAGCTGCTGTGGCTCCAGCTGCTGCCGCCCCAGCTGCTGCCCCTGCTGCTGCCTCCGCCCAGTCTGTGGCCAAGTCTCCTGCCACACCACCTGCTACCGCCCAACCTGTGTCATCTCCACCTGCCCCCGCCCCACCTGCTGTGCCATCCCTTGCTGCTGAGCCCCTGCCTGGACCCATCTCTTCCTTTACTCTGCCCTCTACCTCCCTCCACAGCCCCTCCTGTGGTGCTGCCCATTCAAGCTAACATTTCAGAGGCTAGCTCTTATTCTGATTTTCCAATGATGTTTCTATTTCACAGTTGCTGCTCCCCCAATCTACCTGCTCCCCAAGAATGTCATTCCTTTATGCCAAAATAAACCACCATTTTCCTGTATAGAAAATCCTGTGTGCTTGTGCTGTTCCTTAAGATTCTATATTCAGTCTTGATCATCGCATTTCACCTAGGACAGACCATGAAACTTGGTCAATTTTACCATAGAGGTGGATTCACATTAGGAACAGTCTAGTTTTCCACAGCAGTCCCTTTCGTTCTCAACAGATTGAAATCCTCAGGATGGTATGGACAAACACAAACAAAAACAGGAAAGTGATTGTTGCCCCTCCTGCTGTGGTTCTAGCTGCTGCTGCCCCATCCATGTGCGGCCACGTCTCCTGCCACACAACCTGTGTCATCTCTACCCGCCCCGCCGCACCAACTATGCCTCCTCCCATCTCTGAGTGTCTGCTTTGAGCACACGGCTGCTTCCCTCCCTCCCTCCTTCCCCATCAGTCTGGTGTCTTCCTTTTACAAACGCCGGGTTCTGGAGAGGATTGGGTTTCTGAGACCCATAAAGAAACCCAGTCCCATTAGTTAGTTCTCTGTCCACATTCTAGCTTCTGTTCAAAGGATCCCTTCTTAATGGGTTTCGTCATCACCTACTAATGAATCAACAACCCCTCCGCCAACCCTCCTGCGTGCCTCTTCACAATTCTTAGCCATCATGTTTGTAGGATTTGTAGATGGTCTCCATTCCGGGTAGGGTCTCAGATTTTCACACCTCCCCACCCCACCTCCCCCTGTGACGTAAGGTCAAGGTCAATGAGATACCCCTCTTGTGTTCCTTTTCGAGGATTTCTTGCCACTTTTTAATCTCACCTTTGTTTTGACTGTTTCTTCTGTCTCTCTCCGTTGAAAAGATGCATATGAACTGAGTTGTTAGCCTTATAAGTTGATGCTTGCTTCTTGTTTGAACTTGAAAAAGTTGTTTCTGGGTTTTTATTTGTTTGTTTTTAATTTAGCCACTCTTTGCTTTTGTTTGGCTGCAACAATGGGCTCAAATATAGAAACAATTGTGATGATGGTGCAGGCCCAGGCCATGTTTCACTCCATTGTCCCTATGGGTCGGGACCAGTGAACTGGCACCTAACAATGCTTTTGTTGCCTCTTATGTTAAAAGAGCCGCAGAAGGGCACATGACCCCACGTGGCTGCCGGAAAGATGCAAACAAAATGAATGTAACACACGCAGCACAGTGGCTGCCTGATACATGGTCGACACATCTCACATGGCAGCTGTTCATATTTTCTCCTCTTTCACTGAGGGCATCTGGAAATATGGCATGCTATCGACTTTGGTCCGAATCTTTAAAGTGAAATTCTTTCAGTAGTTCCCAAACGGGTTCCTAGGCACGTGTTTTAATTCAAGCACGTACAGGAAACTGAGGAAGGCTTACCTGTTCAATTCCCATTGCTGCAGCAGAATGTCTAAATGTGTGACTGAAAGACTTGAACATTCTAAATATGGTTATATATCATGAAAGAGGTTGTCACTCAAAATATGTTGCCAAAGTTTGGCCATCAAAAGATTAATCATGTGCCCTGGAAGATATTTTGATAGTCCAAAAATGTGACTTTGCTATTTAAAGGCAATGAGTCATCCCTAGCTCCTTCAGCTTGAAACAGTGACAGAAGATGTGGTAGAGAGCCAGCAAACTTTCTTGGGGTTCCACCATCTTTGTGACCTCCTAAGATGCCCATCCAGGGTCATGGTCATCTTCATTATGGATGAAGCACCTTCTCCTGGGGGGGCTCTTTCCATCTGTTTCCCTTGCTGCCTTCTCCCCAATCAGAACAACCCCCTCTCATCTTTGATGATAAAAGATGCCTTAGCATGCATTGTGAGAGCCATTCTCCACCATGTACAGATAGGAAGGAATGTCAAGTTCAAAAACAAAGTGTGTGTGAGGGGCCAGTCACAAGACACATCTGTAAACCTTACTGCATGGGTCAGAGACTGGGGTAAGGTTGCTAAGGTTAAAAAAAATGTGAGAAATGTTTTCATCGGAAGCATAAGAACATACCGAGGAAAAAGAAAAACATTGCTTTTCCTCCATTTTTGGAGTATTTAATGAGGAAAACACAATTATGTAATTAAATGGCTAAGTTATCCAGTAGAATGAACAACAGAAGAATCTTGCACATGGTCACAGTAGTTCTCAGCAGGGTATAAAAGCAGCAGAGGGCAAGAGACATCAATACCAAGAACCTCGCTCTCCAGTAAACACACCCAGAACCTCCATCCTAGGATACCATGGTCAACTCCTGTTGTGGCTCCGTCTGCTCTGACCAGGGCTGTGGGCAAGGCCTAGAGACCTGCTGCTGCCGTCCTATCTGCTGCAGGCCCTGTTGCTGCGCCTCCAGCTGCTGCCGTCCCATTTGCTGCGGGCCCACTTCCTGCCGCCCGCCCTGCTGGAGCTCCTGCTGCTGCAGGCCCAGTTGCTGCATCTCCAGCTGCTGCAGCCCCTGCTGCGGCCCCTGCTGCGGCCTCCGCCCAGTCTGTGGCCAAATCTCCTGCCACAACACCTGCTACCGCCCAACCTGTGTCATCTCCACCTGCCCCCGCCCCACCTGCTGCGCCATCCGTGACTGCTGAGTCCCCTGCCCTGTATCCTTGATCTCTGCCCCACAGATACAGACCTTTGTTGTGCTGATCTTTAAGACATGGGGCTGTGGGTTGGCATTACTCAATGGAGCCAACATTCACCCCACTGACTCTGGTTCAGTCTAAATTATCTCTTTCATCTTTTCTTTTCCATGTTGGCACCAAATAGGAATTCATTTCCTGTCCACTAGTTAAGATATTACCATTGCCTTCGCCATTTAAACGGGCTCCACATATCTTTCTCAATGTGTAAAAATTACCTGTAACATCTGTACGGGGACACTGACTTTACTCCCCAGAAATGACGCCTGTTATATCTCATATTTTATTCTAGGATGTATTTCTCGTGTTCTGTTGTTTCTCTGCTTTCGAATAAACTTGGTCTCACATAGGAATTCATTGCTCTGGTTCCCTGCGGCTTTTATAATCAGTTTACTCAGTCACTAGGCAATTGTGCTCTGTATGGAAAACACAGGAAAAACAATGTCTGTTGAAGTCATTACGAAACTACACTACATCAAATATAGATCAATTAGTAATTCTCTGATCTGAGAAAATCAATTTCTCACCATGGGATTCCCACACCATGAAGAAGTGTTCAGTTGGATTCCACATCTATTTATGTTGTGGTGGGTTTTTTTTTAACCCCCTTCCATCAACATTCCCTGAAGAACAAGAGTCATTGGGTTTCTCTTGGGCAATAGGCTGAATTCTCCAAGTTCTCTCTTAGAGGGAAATCCTTCCCAGATTGTCAGCTTTTCACGGTCCCAAAGTAATGTGCTGGTGTCCACTGTGGGCAGTGAAGCACAGTCCTGAGACACTGGTCCGGCAAAGACTGGAGGAGAGCTGTGTCTGTGGCCCCCAGGCCCCCTTCAAGCCAGGAGCTGAACCCCCAGAAACCAGCTTTCAGCCACACAGTGGACAAGCCTGTGGGGTGAATAATAACACCAGGAGGGATTTAAGCAAAGAACTTCATAGCCATGGCGTCCATTCTGACGCGCAGTAAGGAATGTACCTCTCGGTAAAATCACCCACACACGATGGGCAATATTTGCCCAACAACCAAGCTCAGAAGGCAGGGTGGGGCCAGAAAGAAGGCTGCATGGAAATGGGGGAACCAGGGAGGAGATGAGAACGGTGCTGTTACCTTGAGGGCTTGCAGCCAATGTCACAGAATTCAATGTGTATCGATTGTGGAATGAATTCACTATGTAAACATTTACCCAAACCACAATGAAAAGAAGGAAAGGGGGCGGGGGGGTCCAGCAGTTAACACCACAAAAATAACACAACTGTCACTCCACGTCACTCACCTAGACCTGAGCAAGTTGAACAACGAGTTCAAAGGCTGAACAGTCTGGTATTGTTTCTGATGCCTTTTAACTCTTAGCTTTCTTTCTATTAAGTTCAAAAATGTGTTACTAAAACAAACAAACAAACAAACAAACAAAACCCCAACTCTATTCCCAGGAAGGGAAATCGATGTGAACTTAGAATCTGCATTGGCCGAGGTCCTTCAAGCATATCTTTCCCAAGACAGAACTTCACCACTCACCTGCATAATCTATGTATCAGGCATGGATTATAACTGCTAATGAAAGACTTGAACCAATAGCTATGGACGCTCATAAAACCAATGCCGTTCCCAGGAAAGTTTTGTTTTTCTTTTGAGCACTTAATCAAATACAACTGAACAGGAGACAACAGATTTCTCACAGAGAAATCAGGTCATCCCTGTTTAATCCATGACACTCGTCATTAACCAGGGAGAGGAGGGGGGAGTAGAATTATCCCAGATGGATGAAGGTGGTCCCGTAGATATACCTTATTTTGACTCTCTAAAAGTCTTTTTCCCCAGTTTCACAACAAAAAAAATTAAAATAATTGATGTACTGGTAGGCAAGCTCATTCTTCACAATGGTTACTGAGTTTGTTTATGGTGCCAAACTGGCCAATAAACACATGTGGGGTTAATTGAAGGGCAGAGGGATACATGGCTCAGTGAGCCTCACCTTTCGAATTCTCGGGTCTCTTGCTTTGTGATGGTCGGACCAGGGTGCAGCTGCCTGAGCCAGTTCCCTGCTTCAGCTGGCAAGGCTGACTTCCTGCAAGCTATCCCTGAGGAGAAGCCGCATGGACCTACCCCGATGCAGCCCTGGGTGCTGGAGCAGCCGTGTGGAGACCCCTGCCGGTGCTGAGATGCTTACACATTCACTGATTCAGCTTTCCTCCTGCAGTCGGCATCATTGCATCTGTTTTGTGAGATGGAGGAGGACTTTGTGGATTGGTGTTGGACATATGGGTTAATGGGTTAATGTTGGACTTGTGGGCTTGGGCAGCACTGGGTTGGGATGTTTTCTTGATGTGCACTTACCCTTTCTATAAAACTTTCTCTTATACTTATGGGTTTCTGTGGATTTGTTTCTCTAAAGTACCCAGACTATAACAGCTACTCTCTCCTCCTCTCAAAAACTTTAGAGGAGCATCCTCTCCTTCCCAACTTGGGCCCATGGGAAGTTGGAGAACACGGCCCAGCCAAAGAGTGGATGTCTTCCCGTGGCTGCGGTTGCTGCTTTGCATTGCTGCCATCAGAAGTTGGATTCCCAGCAAAACCAGAACACGGGTGATCCCGGAACATCCTGATACTAATATATAGCTGTCCCGTCCAGCGGGAACAGCAACGTGGGTCCTGGATAGAGGGAGGGGACGCTAAGAATGGAGACCAGACAGGAGGCTGAGCGGTTCTCTGTGTTCTCACTTTATTTTTCCACAAGCCTTATCAAGGCAAAAAGGGCGTGCCCGTGGGACATGCAAATCAGGCTACTACTGAATGCCCAATCAGAAAACTTGCAAAAGCACACCCAGCGCCAGCGGTCAGTAGTTTCCGATCAGGTCCGTGGGAATGACATCAACGTATGCTAATTAGGTGAAACAGCACATATGCTAACAGGGTGCTTGTTAGCCAATACAAATAAGGGAAAAGGCCAAGGCCACCTGGACTTTTCTGTAAGGCAGCAAAAGGAAACGGAAAGTCTCCACCCCGGCCTGAGGCTGAGAGTAAAGCCTGTTTAGGAGATCTTGGCTATTGGGGCCCATGGTCCCCGACATATAGAGATATATTGATTTCTTATTTGAAATTCCGACTTCACTGGGTGATATGAAGTTATCGTAAGTAGGGAATGAATTCTACAGCAACAGGTTTAGTCTGAGGTATTGGTTCCTTGACCCGTAATGTTATTTGCAAGTGCTAGCAACCCCAATTCTGAATGCAACACAAACTAACCCGTGGCCAGGGGCCAGGCCCAGCCTTGATCAGTCAAATCCCAAATCACCTACACACACGTGGTCAAAAACGGAATGCTTACTGTGGCATGCCATGGATAATTTGTGGTTGTTTGTTATGCAGTGGTAGCTAATGCATTCATCCACGGTGCAATGAGAAACTCGTTGGACTCCTTCATGACCCATGCTACATATAAAGACTATTTCTTGCCTCTAGAGTTTCTTGGGAGGCCTTTTCTTGATTATTACAC